ACATACCAGTAAGGGTTAGATGTGTGTGTGTTTATGTATATATGTCAGTAATAGATGACATACACAATTCAAGTATTATTTTCTACACGTAGTCGAGAATATTGCGGGTTGAATACTGAAACACAACCATAAGATTTATGTTTTAAAAATACAATTACTACATTTTTGTATGTTTCATATTTTGATACCTAAGTAACAGACGTACAAACACTATATAAAAGAAGGCTTACCATTAACAAGCATCTTGATATTCCAGCTGTCATTTCCGAATGAGTTCTCTACAGAACACGTATAGAGGGCAGCATCTTGAGTTTGAATATTTCTGATGACGAGAGTAGAGTTAGTCCCAACTGTAGTTTCTTTACTGTAAGTTTCGTGGCTGTAGTGATACAGAAAACTCAAGTTTAAAAATAAAACTTCGTATGAGATTAGAACCGATATATTATTAAATTATTTTGATATTTACGTCAAACAAGAAAAGTTAAATAACCTTACCGGTTCGACCAAGGTTCCAACGCATGATTGTTTTTAAGCCATCTAACCACTAGAGGTCGCTCTCCTGTTACAATACATCGTACACTCTTTGTGTATCCACGCTGCACAGTAACAATTTCGCTATATTTCTCAATAGATGGAATCACTGTCGAAAACAAACATAACACTTGATGCAATAACAACTTAAATATAAAACGTTCATATTTTGAAATAAAATTATAAATAAACTAAAAAACACAGTTTAGTAAGTTAAGCATTCTTTCCTACAACAGATATTCTTTATATCGTTTGTAATGAATGATATTCTGTTACCAAGCCTATCGTTACTTGATACTAGTAACAACTTTATTTAACTAACTATTAAGCATATCGTTACTTGATACTAGTAACAACTTTATTTAACTAACTGTTAAGCCTATGTTGGTATCGTTACTTGATATTAGTAACAACTTTATTTAAAATATGAGAAATAATCTTAAAGTATGAAATATCTGAAACAAAAATAACTCTAGATCTTTATATCGTCTGGAACATTTTGTCATGAATGTTTTAATAGTTAGTTAAATAAAGTTGTTACTAATATCAAGTAACGATACCAACATAGGCTTAACAGGTTAGTTAAATAAAGTTGTTACTAGTATCAAGTAACGATACCAACAGAGGGTTAACAGTTAGTAAATAAAGTTGTTACTAGTATCAAGTAACGATTCTAACATAGGCTTAACAGTTAGTTAAATAAAGTTGTTACTAGTATCAAGTAACGATACCAACATAGGCTTAACAGTTAGTTTAACAAGGTATTTTTATCAGAGTTAATAGTCTTTGAATACTCGGAGAGTTACTAAACCGACACCCGAATAAGAAGTATTACCGTGGACAGACAGACGGACAGCTTTCTCCAACTTTTCTCCCACTCCGTTATCAGCCTGACACAGGTACGTTCCTGAATCTGTCTCCTTAACGTCGTTAATCACCAGTGTTCCGTTGTCCAACACTTTCATCTTGTAGCTCCTGGAGATTGGAGTGTAGGAGCCTGAAGGATCTGAAGAATATTGGTAGTTATTGTAAGGTATTCTGTACCGCCATGTAAACAACAGTTTGTGAACTATTATTTTAAAATTGTAGCAGGATCGATTATTTACAAGTAAGAGAGGTACAAATTAATTGAACAGAAATGATTCCTAACAATAATAAATAAACTTAGTTTTCACAAAAAAAATACATTTCGAAGTCCAAGTTCAAGGGAGGTCCAAT